GTTCTTGGTATCTCAAGACTTCTTTTTAATACTTTTCTTAAGGTGAAGGTTGGTGATAAGGAAGTAGATGTTATGAATGGCTTCAGACTTTACATTACTACAAAACTGCCAAATCCAGGTTACTCTCCTGAAATTAGTGCTCGAACCTCCATCATTGACTTTACTGTGACCATGAAAGGTCTTGAAAATCAACTCTTAGGCAGAGTCATTCTCACAGAGAAACAGGTAAAAGAATTAATTGTATCTTTTTCCTGGCTATACGTCTTACATTTACCTGTGGAAGGTTTTACTTTAATTTATTACTCTCTATTCCCATATTGCAGGGTAACTTGCTGGCTCTCTCTATTGTGATTACTCTTAATATAACCTTTTTATGATGGGTTAAAAACTGGCACAGAAGAAATTGACTCATTCAAGTAGAAGTTTCTATTTGTATTTACTGTTGCAGCTGCATCATACTCACCTTATTTTTCCTGCCTCAGTGAGTTATAACCTCATAAGAATGGCCTGTGAAAAGGAAAAGGGCCTGGAATAAAAACTGATGTTCTTCTGTCTACACGCTGTGGGGGTCACGGCAACATAACCTGGTGCAAAACATTGAGACTTAGCTACTTCCTTGCTCCAAGGGCATATGGCCTAACTACCTATTTTGGTATTGCAGATGTATTAGTTGAGGAAGTCCAAGTTCAGGATGACTGTCCCAATAAACATGCCACCAGCAGTTCTGGAGGGAGGCTGGTTGGTATAGAATCATAGAATAGTTTGGGTTGGAAGGGACCTTTACAGGTCATCTAGTCCAACTCCCCTGCAATGAGTAGGGACATCTTCAACTAGGTCAGGTGAATAAGAAAGAATGTTTTGAACTGTTGGACACCTAATCCCTGTAACTACAAGGTCAGGCAATGTTGAAGTCAAATGAGGCACTACGCGTCTATGTGTATTTACTAAGATTTTGGCCATAGTTCCAGTTTACCTTCACTAGAGGGGAATGTGTTTGTTCCCTTATTGCGGTGTCTGTTGAGGCCCAGACATGCAGTGAGGAAAAGGAGGGTTTATGGCATGCGTACTCTTTGCTGGGTAAAAAACTGGCTGGTTGGCCAAGCCCAGAGAATTGTAGTGAATGGAGTTAAAACCAGTTGGCGGCCGGTCACGACTGGTGCTCCCCAGGGCTCTGTTTTGGGGCCAGTCTTGTTCAGTACCTTTATCAGCGATCTGGATAAGGGGATTGAGTGCGCCCTCAGTAAGTTTG